TCTAAACGCGGCACAATTTTCTTTAGAAAATCGGCTTGCTTCCCCCAATGACATACATTTAATAAGCACAGAATGATATTTTATGGTGACGCAAACCCCAATAGTTGTCCTTAAACGTATTAGACTTCATTTTGTATGACTTTGTAACCTGTGACACGCTCACCAGTTTCGTTGGTCACCTTATCAGTTCAAGTAGCCTTCGTTGATTTTTTTCTAACCAACTTGCCACTCTTTAAGTGGGGCAGAAAGCTTGAGGACGTTGACAGGCAATAAAGATAGAGAACACTAATGCTGAGCAATAAATTTCGGCAGGAAATGGGCAGATCAATACTGTCGCTGGTTGGACGTGCTCATCTTCTTTGCTCAGTACGAATTCCGTTATTGGCTTATGCGAAAAAGGAAGTAGAGGCAATCATCATGTTTGTCACACTTTATCACCTGGTGCACTGGGTAATATATTGTTTTTTCTCTCTCCGTCAGGACTAAAATGATGACCAACGACGTGTGGCCATTCGGCTATTGTTGTTTCCTCTAGAAGATATAATCAGTAAGATGATTGAGTGTTTTGTTTGTTGTCACGTCATACCTTGCGTTTCGCGTTGCTCAAAAACTGGCCCTTTTCGCCCAAGAGGACGATTGATGAGGGCATGACGGTGCGACAGATTGGCGCCGAAAAGTGAGCCTTATATGCTTCGATAGTTTTGAAGAGCCTGCTTGGAACAGTTCGCCCAACTCCAGCTAGATCACGCATTATGGCTCCGCTAAACTAAGGTAAAACGGATTTGTGACAAAACTCAAAGATTTGAGTACGCCTGTTTCATAAATTAGTTCCACGTGATGAAAGACACTATCACAAAAGTATTGGATTCGTTGTCACTTTTGATGAAGGACTCAAATGACGGTCCGTGCAAAATGGACATCCTATGAATACTTACCGAGTGTGATGGGAAATTCCTCTCACCTGTCAAAAAAAGACTAATTTGGTGAGTACACATTAAGTCAAGATATGCGAATTACTCCCTTGTTTTGTGGCACCTCAGTTGTTTCAGACCCTTCGTTGTGCCAAAATATGAAATCCAATTGTATGACATAAACTTGGGAATTGGATCGAACCTGGAAAAGCAACTCGTTTCCCTGATGGATCGCACGAACTCCCGGTAACTGTCTTGCTAAACGGGTCGAGCAGTCAACATAAACGGAAGAGTTACACATAATCAGCAGTCATGTGGACCACGCATATCGCTCAGAATACAGGTTGATTACTTAAGCGCGTGCATCTCAATTTGATGTAGTGTTGTTGATGCGCTTAACTAGTGCATTGTACTCCTGATCATTTTTGCCGGATTTGAGATTGAAATCTGCGATGATTTGCTGTTTTAATATTTTAGCAATATATTATCTCCACTTGAAAAAATTGTCGTGTTGAAATCTCAAACTTCAGCCTTATAAAGAACATCCACAATCAGCAGGTATGAAATACGATGCTACAAATATGGGCTAGGTCGTAGCCGGCAGGATAAATGTTAGCTTTTGAAGGATCTGATCTAAAGATTCATCTTACGAACTCCACGGAGCCAGCGCTGGTTTCTTTGTGAGGCATGGGAATGAGATAGTGAGAAACTCGACACAGATTTCCTCCGATCAACCAAGTGAAAATACCCAAATAGTGTGATGTATATTTTTTGTTACGGAATGTTTTCCGCCCTTACTGATCAAAACGGTTTTTTGGCTTGCTTATCCCCTACATTCGGTTAGTTATTTTGAACAGTTTGCCTTTGTTCTTTTGAAGGAAACAAAAAAACAATTCTGTCGAAAAATGTTCGTCAACTCACGATCGCTTTCGCTCTCTTTTGGAAATCATCAGGTGGGCATAGCCCTCAAGTTTCCGGCTAACGTACGTAATACTTCAGCCAGAATTGCACGAGAGTTGACGAAAATACAATTTGTATACGAATTTGTTTTTAACTGAAGACCCACTAAGCTGTTACGCAAATGACTGGGGTGTCAAAGAGTTTTCAGCAAATGTCTGAGTAGTTTCCCTTCTAAAAGTATACTACAATATCTCAAAATCTTATTAAATGAAACTTCGGGCGGCCTTTTTGCAACACATTCATTAGGAGAATATCATTAACGGGACATCCAGAGGAGGCTTTCCTTCATACCGAATTGGTTTCAAATGAAATTGTTTACCTAGTTTTTCTGTTTTCATCAGAGATTGTGAGCTTACAACAAGAATTGTTACACCTTGGATTCCAAAGCACTCAGAAGATGCTTAAATATCCGCGCGAAAAAGAGAAAACATAAGTTTTTAGATAACTTTTCCCCTATATGCACCCGCAAATTCTGAATGATGACGGTGAATAACCATCTCGGTCGATGTACGCTGTGGACAATTTACACCACGATGCATCTTCGTTAGATCGTGTTAATTTGACCTTCTTTGTAGGTGAGACTTGCTTGTCCCATAGACCAAATATGCCAGTTGTTGACATCCATACAGGATGTCTGTTTTTACTGAATGCCCAGCAATCTACGTTCCCGGGCGCCTGCTCAGATGAACATTTCCATGAAAGTGACTATTATGCTCACTGCAAAAATCTGATGGTAATGGCTTCCCAAGATTTTCACTAGTTTTCGCTTAGTGCTCGTCCATCCCCTATTGTGGTGTGAACTTGTAGTCACAAACATCGATGCTCCATGATCTTCACTGAGCGCCAACTGAAACAAGTTCTCGTTTACACTACTACTGGTTTGTACAGTAGTGTAACAACGATAAGGAAATAAAGTCTGATCTGGCTGATGTGACTTTATTTTTCACGAATTTTCAGTCAATCGGTCTAGCCACATCGTACTTCAAAAAGATGACCGGGCCTAAAGCGTCCATCGGACAGTTCCACCCGTCTGCATGAGCAACTTTGCCAGGCTTCAACAGCAAGGTCAACTTGCCTTGGTCACTAAGATCAGCTTCAAGACCGTGAAACTCTCTCCAACGCTTCAGTTTAAAGTATTACCCGCCGATCTAGCGACGCAGGGAATTTGGTTTGAGCAGATATGTACAGATTACGCGACTCGAGAAATTGCCTCACACGCTACGGAAATCCAAAGTCAAAACCAACCAATTATTGAAAGAAACACAAATTCGAGTAGGAAGGGCCGACGTTTCTATTTAATTGAATCAAGTCAAACAGACTGAGATACATATCACCTCTAGTTTGGTGAGTAATTCATTGACAAACATAATTTTAGAAGCCGTTAGCGGTTGTCTACAGGATTTGCAGAATACAAGATCACAACAATCACGTGTGAACAGTTGTCCTACGGTCGCGGCGCAACGATTCGGCTTAGTCTACAGTGGACTCGAGTTTCACTCATTATAGCTCATCAGTAGTTCATATCCTTGGCCGTACAGGGGTTCGAACGCCGCACGCCTGGAATTCGAGGCTAGCTTGTTAATATACTCTACTATCTAACGCTGTACACATATGAATTTTCGTATCTGAAGAAGCGAAACATGTTCACGCTTGACTAGCATGAGTAGTAGACCCGACGTCACGAACGATGATCCCGTAACATGCCTTGGATTTGTCGATCGATTGGCCCGCCTGTCAGAATAGCACATTATACAATAGATTATGGTGAATCAGTATTTGTTAAAATCTAATCTGATTTCGTAAATTTTGCCGAATTTTCATTAATCAATACAATTTGTAAGGAGCTGTCACCAAGCAGTATACTGTCAGTTACTTTTTTTCCCTCGACGCTTAGGTTTTCTCTTGCTTCTTCCCTTGCAAAAGCAAAACATTATTGCCGTAGTTTTCCGAATATCTCTTAACACTAGTTATTCTTTCTTTTCTACTCTACTAGAACTCTCCTGAACAAATGAACGGCCTTACAGTCGGTTCTATTTGGCTTGTAATAATACGCCCGGTAGAGTGGAGTTTTTCAGGTTAGTCTGAGATAAAGCGGAGGATTGTCGTAGACAACCGATGTTCGATTGTCACCATTCTCGAAAATAAACGACAGAATTTAAAATCAGATATTAAGTCTGTCAGATGTTCAATGTGAAATCTACGTCGATTTGATGTGAAGTGCGTCAATGGTTAGAGCGCGAATTTACTGACCGGAAGGTCCGTTGTTTGAACCCGACCTCTGCCCCTCAACTTTTCCTGTCTAAGCTTAGGCAACATGGCAGTATCCCAGCCCTCGTGCTTCCTTAGTGTGGTGGGGCAACTAGGCACCAAAAGTATGTTAAAGCTGAACAATTTTTTAATCTAAAATGCCCCCTCTCACATAAGGGAATAACACATTCGCCACCAAATCTCAAGGGATCACACAGGCCTCTGTTCCCCACTAATTGCCTGAGGAATGGGTCCACAAATCAACAAACTTTCAAGTAATGGGTCAGCCACTGGCACACCTAACCTCAACTAATGTAATCAAACCGTAGCGCGTCTTTTTTTCACCATCGTTTCCCCAGTGCGACTTACCAAGTAGTATGAAGCCAACCCACCAGCATTCATTTTGCTCCTACAGCAAGTGGAACTCTGCCCCTCGTCTTTGAAGGAATGAGAATAAGAATCCATTTGCGCACTTTTAATCTTCACTCTCCGTCTGCTATACACATTGCTTGATGGCCACCCAAAGAGTACTGGTGGGTGCTACTTATTACACTGGACTGAAATTCGGAAAGATTTCAAAGAACCACAATATGCATTGAACTACTTGAGATTTATAGGGCTGTAACTGGGCCCAGCAGCACCCATATTTAGCAGAGTGATTAGTACTCGAAGGACTATGATAAACATAACTAAGACGGGATGTTCGGGACCGTCATTGGTAGGAAAATTCCAATGTCGGAAGTTCTGACCATACAAAGTAACGTCTGATACAACAGCTGAAAGTCACCAGGAAATCACGACCCTATATTTATTAGCATTTTGATAAGTTATAGCGTATTAGCAACGATTAAAGTTACAAAATGCTAAATGTCAGAAGTACAGCTAAACAGCGGTTAAATTTTCGATCGATTTGTTCTCTAGTTTGTTTGATGATGGGCGGTCAGTAAAATCCGGCAAATTTTCGCCAGTTGTGTCCGGGATAAATAGAATAACCAGCACCAAAAGGGGCATGGCACATCCATAGAAAATCATGGGAAGACCATGGCCAATAGAGGTGTCGAGTTCATTAACGAACGAAGACAAAACGCTGCCCATTCGACCCAATCCTGCTATAACACCGAAGCCTTGTGTTCGTATCGATGAGGCGAATAGTTCTGGTATATAAACAAACAACATGGAACCTGTTGCCCCCAAAAACATGAGGGCAATATTGGCACATACTATTAACGGCAAATCAGTTTCACTTACATTGAGAAAGGTGCACACCCCACTGATGAGCAAGAGAAAAGAAGTCACAGCATAGATACCCATGAGAGGAAGACGTCGGTGGCGTAGCATCCGATAAAGCGTGGAAGAAATGCAAAGGGCGGGCACGGTGGTTGTGGCATTGACAAACGATACTAAGTAGACGTTACCTTGGACGTGACGACCATACAGTAAAACCCCCATGTTGGACATCGACTGACCACAGAACAACACTGTGCCGAGAACAGTGTTTTTTGCAAGATCCCACGTGCTGCAGCTCACACAGAATCCTCTTGGAAGCTCACGGTATTTTGTGTTTACTTGATTACTCAAAGGCCCATCAGAAGTCCGTTGTTTGTGCCATTCTTTCTTTTCACTGTCGATCAGCCGATCGAGACATGTTGCTGGATAAACCTTTCCAGGATACAGGGAACGATTAATTCTTCTGGCGTGTAGCATAACATTGAGTGCATCTTTACGCCTCTCTTGTGAGAGAAGCCATCTTGGCGATTCCCTCAGGAAGAAATATTGCACCACTACCATCAGTGTCGGTGCCATTGAAACTGCATTCAACCAGCGCCAATCACGAACGTAATAGGCCTCAAGTGAGAGGATGCCACGAAAAATAAGATTGGTACCAAGCGAAATTAGTGAGCTAAGAATCATTCGGTATCGTGCTACTGTCCATTCTATGGTCATAATGTTAATGGCTGTATATTTCCCAATATTCGCCGCTCCGATAAATGCTCTTGCCAATATGTAGACGTAGTAGTTTGACGCCGTAGATGTGGTAACCGCTCCGAAAAATTCAATCGCAGCCGCGCCCAAGATGGTCCGCTTTCTTCCAAATCGATCGCTAGCCAAACCACCAAGGATAAATCCAAATGCCATTCCAATCATGTATGTGGAAGTACCAAAGGGAACTAGCCAGCTACGGGTGCAAACTGTCTCGAATTCTCTCACAACACTTCCCGGGTACTGTCCTTCCTCCAAATAATATTCATAACCTTTGTTGCAAGGTGTTGTAGGAAGGTCCACTGATAAATTTGTTTGGATCGTGGAAACAGTATCCTTTATTCTGTCGGACAGAATACTTTGATTCCACATTATATCGTATCGATAGCAGCCAGTGACACCTTCCCTACTCCAGGGTCCGACCACCAAAGCTCTTTGCTCAAAAGTCAGATTGTAGGATCTCAGAGTGGCTTCCAATTCTGGCTCCAAAATACAACGATGCTTTGGCACGGAATTGGCAAACAATGGAAAGGTTAGCGCAGGTGGATTGCTGAACATAGCCACCAGAGCTATTAGCCATTGCCACAGCCCAAGTTGTCCGACATCTCCCTCCAAGAATTCATCCACATTCAAAGTTTGATCTTGTTGAACCAGGTTGCCAAGGGGATTGGACAGTTTTCCCTCATTTTCTTCAACCGCAATGCTCAACAAACTATTCATTTGCATTTCGGCCTTTCTACTTGTCCTTTGAACCCCTTTAATATACCATGGTGCGCTGAATTCATGTGTTTTGTCCCACCCACCACATGCCGTATTTCAGTTAGTCTTTCTGAATATGCTAATGAAACTCGCTTGTAGCCGTTCATTCAGCCGATGTAAAACCGCAAACCTTCTATTTATATTCATTCCATTCTTAAAGAAACCAACTAGACTTCATGGTCAGCTCATAGAGAGCGAACAAGAATGCATAATCAGCATGGTTTTTTGAACATTCTTCCGGTTTTATTACTGTAGGAATAGCTACATCTTTGTTCAAATGGCTTAACCATCAGAACTTTGTAAAACTAGCATAAATCAAACCAGTTTCAAGAAGAGCATTGATGTCACTGTCAGATTATTGCATGAATTTACTCCATCACTCCAAAAATAGTTTTCACGGACACAACAAGAAATTCCTGCTGCTTGCCTGTCCGCCAGGTACGATCTAGCATCAATCAAGTAGTTTAACGTTACTTTTAAGCGATCGCAGTGGCGCACGCCGCACAGAGTAAATAGAATTGAGGGCGTGAGCGTATGAAAACCGGTCTTAGATAAGCCGAGACTGTGTTTGGATATCAATGCACGTAAAATCCTTGGCAAAAACAGGCGGAGTTTGAGTCCCAACCCCAACAGATTTCACAGAATCCCTCTCCTTTACACAAGTATGGTAGCACTAGCTCATCCACACAGACGGAGAAACAGTGCAAACGACATTCAACAGGGATCATCATGTGAACCGAACCGAAAGAACTGGACCCTAAACTGGACCCAAATCCATGTGGTTTTCTTCATCGGCCAGTTGACCAACCCTAAAAAATAAAATCCGTTGTTGATACCTGAGACAGATTTAGCCTGACTTAGCTGATTTGTTCGCTTTCTACATCAAATCTCGATCAACCTTGTAACCTTGGCCCAAACTGGCTTTCGTGTCAAAAGCGAAACGTTGCCCTAGCAACACATCCAACGATTGTTTCACGACTTTTATGAAGAGGAATAACATCCTTTTTTCTGATGCCCTCATTGGTAAACTAAGGGGCCTATTATGTTAGTTGAAATTCAGCTGAATCAAATGTCATGTTTCCTTGTTTAAAGGGGGGGTCGAAAATAGAATTTTGATGGTCCCACAGGGTTGTCCTTCCAGATTCTTTACGCATTCCGCTTTATCAGCCAAACCCACTGAAATAAATATATTAGTTCTGATGTGTTATTTCTCCTGAGGATGGAGCAGCGCCATAAATGAAGGAGTCATCTAAAGTTTTATATGGATACAGAATTAACACATTCATTTGGACCGGGAAATGGGAGAAGAAGGCAGGTTCAGCGACTGCCATTTCGATGCAGACAACATGTTCGGTCAGTTTAACATCAATAATAAGGACTAACTCCATTAGACGACGAAACATCATGGAAAGTTGAAGCTGCGGCTCGGAGAGCCAATGGGCTTCCAGGTGCGCGAGTTGAAGGAGCCACTTTGTCCTTCTATTCAGAGGACTAAACAAGTCATTCCTCACCTGAGCACCGTAATACACATGTTTAGCCGTCTCACTTACTTCGAGTGGCAGTCTTAGTCTTACATGCAAGCAGACCAAACAAAACTGACTTGAACGCTTGCATGAAGCGTTTCTTACGACAGATTATCCGTCCAGTGAAGTAGGATTAACCAACCACCATCACACTATGGAGTTTGGGCTTCTTCCCAGCCTCATATAACGCATTTGAGATCCACTTAGACAATTAACCAGCTTTACTATTCTGGATGAAGCAGTAAGGCTTCCGTTTCGACTAGTTGAAATCGGGACTTCTTATTAAAATAACGATAGATTGTGTGCTACAAGACCCTGTCCAATTTGGTAATTGATGGAATTTACACGTACTTGTCCTAAACAGTCGTCAATACCTCAATGCCCCACGAGCTTCCTTGAGTGCAAAAATAGTGTTCCTCCTGTAGGTTCACCAGACCGTTGTCTTTGTGAAGCTGAGTTTAACGGGGAAAACGGAATCAATGTCAACAAAATGAATGAGCTTGTCACTTGTGTTCACTCGAATATTTCCGCCTCAGAGGCTATCCAAGGTGAATAAACCCATTATCAGTAACAAAACCATGAGTTACCGTGAGTTACCTGCAGGGCAGATTCCTTTCATGGATTACCTTACAAGTCTGACGCAAGCGCGAGAAGACATTCGCATCCACAGTGCCCTGAATTGATTAGTTATGGTGAATTTTATACAGTCGATAAAATGGCCGAGGAGTTGTGGACGTTCGGTCCATAGAGTGGTTTAACTGATCTGCTAGTTGAAAAAGTGATTAATTCATCCCTGGTTGTGTGTGCTGATTTTGTTTAGTGGCGGCAAATGACGTGATGAAAATCAGTTGGATCTTGATGAAGTGTGCTTCAAAGTGGGCGAACTGAATTAAGTCAGGGTGTGATTTTGAATAAATCCGACAGATGTTACGTGATCACACGAATAAATTTTTTATCACGCACGTAACTTCATCCCAAGCTGACACTGAAGATCTTTTTTGTGTACTGAGTGACCTGGTTCACTGAAATCACTGAATGCTTTGATTTGTTAGCAGAACTAGGGAGTCCTGTTTATGCCTTGCACTAGTTCAGGGTTACATTTGAGGTTAAGTTGAATTTGGGTATGTCGTTTCGCCTATGGCTCCATCCCCGAAGACGGTAAGCAAGATAAATTCGAAGCTGACTTTAGATGGTGCACAATCACTCACTAATTCTTCTCCAATTTGAAAACGCTGTATGCTGTGCAAGTAGTAAAATTAGGTGTCATCCATCGAGTAGTTAGAAATGAAACTGCTACTGCTAAGTACAGACCATTCCAGAATAAATGCAATTTCATTGTAATTTACTACGCATGAGGCTGCTGAAAATCCGTCGACAGCCCACGACCGGTTTCGCCCTTTTTGGGGCTCATCAGGCAGGCGTAGTCCCCGGGTTTCCGTCAACCTCATGTTCTACTTGTAGAGCTGATAAGCTTAGTAACTCCTGAATCAGTTGTTGTGAGAGAAGTCTTGAGAACTTGCAACTAAGATTTGTTCACATGTGTGAAGCCAATCTATGCTGACAACTCGAGAACTTCTGTAGAGCTATTTGATCCTTATTGGGAGCCATCAGTGGCACGCATCGCAAGAAAAATCGAAACCGCGGCCATCCCCCTACTACTTCGAATACTTGACTTCTTGGCCATGAAGAGCTACCGTTAGCTTACAGCTACCGAGAATCCAACAGCGATCACAATCAACACTAACCGGGCTGATTCTAATTCCTCTACTGTTACAGATGTTGATAACCTTGATAAAATGTATCGGATCATTGACAGCTCGGTTTTTTTTCACTGATGATTAGCCGACTGGCTGTTGTGACTGTCTTACAAATGTTTCGTCGCTAGTCGGGGGGATATCTGAAGCGTATGCACGTCATGGCAGTCGCATCTTGATTCCGCATATCAGGAGGAATGAAGGGCATCCCTAGTAGCCAGATTTATCACGTCGTGCGTGTTGTTTCCAAAGTAGTTAATGAATCGATGGTAATGAAAAAATATTTGGGGTAGTTTGTTGCTTGAACTTTAGCCAACTAGATTGTCTCTGAAAATAACCCATCTGACTAGGGTCCCCTAGTCTCGTACCATAGAGAGACTTAAAGATAGTGTTTTGGCAGTGCTGACTTTTGAAGGGATTGTTGTCTTCAGCAAAATTTAAGATCACGTCTACCGTTACCTTCAACTATTCGCTGCGTGGCTGACGCATGATCATTTCCATGCTCATCTCATCATCCTGTGTGATATGGCCAGATCGCCAGCTGAAATATTATGGATGAGATCCCATATCCAGCTTTACTGACTTCCTTTGTCGCATGATCTTTATCCTTCTTTCCGAAACAAAAGCGAATGTGATCACCAAGATTGTCATTATGACTAGTCAAAGTTAAGTGAGGCTGGTCGAGCAAAACATGAATTTTGTTTCAGTTATCATGCTGGTACTCAGATTACGCCAACTGCTTAATTGACAGGTGAGATTCCCACAAATTGCCACTGCTACTAACCCCCGAATTTTTTCATGGAAAAATAGCACCAAAGCTCTCAATACCGGTGAAAGAAAGAAGGCCTTCGATGCGGATTATTTATTAGGAAACGCCAAGTGAACAGTTACCGTTTATCGGGGAGCACAACTCTCATATGTATCATGTCTACACAAAGTGAAAACCCACCTTCTCATGGAACTCGTCTTCCTGAACTTTCCCGGATATTCATTGACTGTTGCTCACGCGCAAGCAAATGGGACTGCACAGATTCCGTAATAGATCGCACTTTTCAAGAGACGCGAAGTGGATTTACGAGAAACATACTACTTGCATGCCCCCATCAGTAGTATCCACCGAGACACTGGTTAACCAAGCCACGATGTTTTTATCTAAGCTTAAAGTGGGCGGTGCTCCTAGTTTAGCACTCTCTCTATTGGGTTATGTTGCATGTCGTTCCAGGCCACTCTACTAGCATTCCATTTCGACCAAAACATGATCGGAGAGATTCTCTATCGTCGTCACTCGGGTTAATATTGGACGCAGGCGTGCGCTTAAATGCCACAAAGAGTACAACGTTGATAGGTTCAGTGACATCAGTAAAATGCACATAAACCTAGGAATTTAATCACATGACCTGGAGAAGATGAAGAAAGCTGCAGAAGTTTTGGTGCTGTTTGGCAATGCGCCTTCAAAAATGAATACTGGGTGAATGCCTCTGTAAAATATTGAAAACTTTGAAAAGATATGTCCAGCAGCATATATCCATGACATTTTTGGTACGGTCTTCTACCCGGAATATCCGAACGTGGATTGAAGCTACATGCCCCCCCCCGGTCGTTTGTGGGAATATAGGAATAAATATTTCCTCAAATGTCAGTAATCCACTTTAAATTATGGTTTGTTTAGACAAGCGGCTATGGTAATGTACAGTGGAAAACTAGTGTCTTGTCATCTTAATGACATCATTCAGAATGGTGTCAATGATGGCGTTCAAAACGGTTAAACTGGTGGTGATGATCATTTTTCCGTTATGAGGAACCTTCCAAAATGCTTGGATTTTGAAAGTG